AAAATTTTGACCTGTGAGTTCACATTTTTACAGTGCAGTACATTTTTACTCAGGAATGTAAAGTTTCAATTGATGAATACATATCTAGTAAATATGGGAGATGACAAAACTATAAAACAGTTTGTGCCTCTGGGTTACAACTACTTAAATTTAAGTGGAGTTTATATAAAAGAAGAAATGAAAAGCCAGAAGGAGGGACACCTGGGTGGGTCAGTGGTTGAGCATCTGCCTTCAGCTTAGGGCATGATCCCAGTCTGGGGATCGAGTCCCGCATCGGGCTCCATGTGGGGGAGCCTGCTTTCTCCCTCTATCCCTCTGACTCTCTTTGTCTTTGTCTCTCATGAATAAATACATAAAATCTTAAAAAAAGAAAAGAAAAGAAAAGCCAGAAAGATACTTGAAGTCTTTCCCTATCCAACATAGGCCTCTGTGCTTCCATTTAAAAAAATATATTACTGGAGAATATTAATGCCTGGCAAAATGGTGTAGCACTGGGCTGGGCGTTAGAAGCAGCTATAATTCCTTTTCAGGAACTGAATGATACGTGTTTTTTTCTTAAATGACTTTGTGAGTTTCTAAGGCCCTTGAAATAGTTTTGATCTGTTTCCAATTTGCTGTGTGACTGCATCTGAAATCCAGTTGTAATTTCAGGATATCTCATTGCCTGTTTTCTAATCAAATATTTATTTAATGGTGGCAAATCTTATCTTGCAACATGATTCCTGGACCATGGGACTTAATGACCAGAGATGGAAGTCTGCTTACTGCTTCTGTCCCAGAGGAGAGGAATATATGTTAGCGGCACACTGTGCTGGGTAGTTCTACCTGAGTGTGATGCTGATGCTTGAGAGTTGGAGAGAAACAGTCCCCTTCCCTGGAATCTCTGTTCAGCTCATGAGGCAGAGTGGCGAGTATTTATTCCTGTCCAACTCCCCTTAGCTCATTCCTATTCCCAACAAAATGTACACGTTCTTTTTTTTGAAGTCTGTAGTTATTTCTCTTTTTTGTTTTTAAAACAATTTTATTTAAATTCAATTTGCCAACATATAGTATAATACCTAGTACTCACATCATGAAAATGCACACTTTTTATTAATGATGTTTTGACCTCTATCCCATGCCTGTTCTTTGAGAATATATATTTTTCTTTGTCTGAAGGTGCTATTAAATTTTCATCCTTAACATACATTTATTGGTAAGATGTAAACAAAGTGCTATTGATTATCAATAAATTAGTTTGAATTCCCCTCCATACCTTTTTTTCTTCTTCTTCTTTAGAGGTGCTGATTTGTTCTTCTCCAAAGCTTCTAGTGGGTTCTTAGAAACTGAAAGAAGTCACATTTCTTTCAAAATGAGTCTTAAATGCTTGTATTTTACAAAATTTTAAACCAAGGCATATTTTTAGCATCAACAGCTGGTTGATATGTAGCCTGTGACTAATGAAATGAAACACATTTTTGTTTCACGATCATGTGTTAATGTCACCCTACAATTTTGTTATTTTTGATGCAAGAAAGAATGATTAAATCTGAAGAAACAAAAAAATGAGCTTTTTGGTTACACTTTAAGGCAGATTTAAATCCAGTCTCTTGGTTTTTGATTTGTAGACGATGTTATGGAGGATGGGCTCAGATTTTGCATTTTGAGATACTGATAAAACCGAGAGAAGAAACTATTCTTTCTGATTCTAGCTCTTAGACCTAAGGGGCAGTAGTCCCTTGGTGTTACCAGGGATTTCAACTGAGAAAACTCAAACTAAAAATAGTCACAGTAAAACAGTCTATATATATATATATATATATATATATATATATATATATATACATTTATATATAGAAAATATGATCCAGATCTTATAAGGAAAAATCTATGTCTGTAGAAAAGAGGGTCTGGGATATAAACTAACAGGTTGATGGTGATTTATTTTGGGTGGTGGGATTATAGGGAATTTTTTAAAAATGCATTTAAAATATTTTTATAGTAAGTCATGCTGTACTTTCATCATTTTTAAAAAAGAACCCCAATAATAGGGGCTATAGACACCAGTTTTTTGAAACGGCCAGGAAGCTCTCTTGTGTGCTTACAGACCACACTCAGTATGCTGTCAGCTGACCTCTGGTTTCTTGTTTCTGAGCCCAAGAAGAACCTTCAACTCAAAATTGAGAAAGATTTTCTATTAAGTAATTTTTGCCTCTTAGCCTTCTGGCCTCTTAGTTATTTCAGTCATTAGATCTAAGACTACTTTTGCTCCTCTTTCTGCTTACTAGATTGCCTCAAAGAGATAAATGTGGTTTACCTATTATAAGCTATGAGGAGAAGAGCAACATGAATAACTTTTTTAAATACTGAACTAAGACAGGATGTTGCTGTGGCAAATAGACCATGAAGTTGTATGTTAAACTCTTCCAGGCAGGAGGAGAGTTAAAGGATTACATGAAATTTTAAGTAAAATGAAATAATTTGCCTGTTGTTGAGGTTCCCACAAAGGGCCATGTCTATCCAGTACATGTACCAGAGACTACCTGTTGGCAGGGGCCTTTCCCACTGTCCTGGGTCCTCTGGCCCAAAAAGACCCTGATCTGTCAGTCTTTCCAGTACAATAGCATGAGTGTCTAACCTTTTTGGCATCTTTTTCATAAATTTTAAATGCTTCTCCTTCTGTTCCTTCATTGGCTCATTCATCTACCCACTTATATAACTTTTTATTGTCACTGACTGTGTATTGAAAATACAAAGGTGACAGAAAGCAAAATGTCCTATAATTTAAGACAAGTCTCCACCAAGAAAAAAAGTGTCTGGGGTCAGGGAAGGAATTGGGAAAAACAATGTATAGGAAGCAGAAAAAGATTTTATTTTATTTTATTTTTTTTTTTTTTAAATTTTTTTTTAATTTTTATTTATTTATGATAGTCACAGAGAGAGGGAGAGAGGCAGAGACACAGGCAGAGGGAGAAGCAGGCTCCATGCACCGGGAGCCCGACGTGGGATTCGATCCCGGGTCTCCAGGATCGCGCCCTGGGCCAAAGGCAGGCGCCAAACCGCTGCGCCACCCAGGGATCCCCAGAAAAAGATTTTAAATTTCTATAATCAATGTTCCCTGATAGGTTAAAGGAAAAGGTTGGGGACCGTGAAACAAAAGCTTTGAAAAAAGAACCATCAGAAAGTAAGAGCTCCTAGAAACTAAGAATAAGGTAATGGAGATTGACAAAATTAGAACAATGAAAGGACGAAGTTGGAGCAATCTTCCATTCCACAATAGTACAAAAACAGAACAAAACCCAAAGAAATGGACAATAGGAAAAGGGAGAAAGATGAGCCAGCATCCAGCTACCTAATAGGAGGTCCAGAGAGAAAAAATGAAATGGAAGAGTGGAAATTATCAAAAACTCTGGGAAAATCACCCAGAACTGAAGGACCCTTCTTTTCACAGTGATGAAGGCCCCAGAGTATACCTGAGTTGATAGATGAGAAATGGTTGATACCAAGTTGCATCAAGTACCAAAAGAAGTTACTGTGTATTATTATTTGACAATTGAAAAAATCAAAAGGTACCAGGAGAAAAAGCTGATGGACTTGTAAGTAGCTGCCTCTGGGAAGTGGGACCTGGAAATGCAGAGGGTACCACTGTTTTTCATAAACTTCTGGTGCTACGTAAGGTTTGAACTATGCACATAAATTATTTTGATAAACCTAAAGGTGAATTTGGAGTCTTGTCTTCTCAGACATTTTTCAGCAATGTCATGAGTGCCAGAATATGCTGTAGGAGCACAGAGCGAGAAGGAAGGACTTCCTGCTTCATATAAGAGGTGGCATGGGAGCTGGGTCTCAGAAAATGACAGGGCATTCTCTGGCAGAGGAAGGGGAAATTAACTTTCCAGCCAAAGGGAACCGCATATGCAAAGGTTGAAGTATGAAAGAACATTGAGTGTTTGGGGGAAGGTTAAATGGTTTGAGATTTCTAGATTTTCGTTAATTGGGCAGGGCATTTTTCATTTCTTTCCTGTTCCATTCTCCTATATTTATGTGACTGTGTTCTCTGCTAAATTATTTATTTATTTAAGGACAACGGTTCATGTCTTTGTCCTTACTTTTTGAAATCTCCACCATACTGAACATAGGATATATACATAGCAGATGATTTAAAATTTTTTATTTATTTATTTTATTGATTTAACAATTTTTAACTAAAATACTTATATAGCCCTTCATTTGGCCATCTTGAATTCAAGAGAGACCTCCCAGAAAATCCTAATAATAATAGATATTTAGACTAATTAGAACTCAAGCGCTATCATCCTTCAAGGTCTAGGTATACTCCTCTTAGGGTGCTAGGTTACAAGCTCTGGAAAGACAGGGATCGTGTCCTTCCCATCGTTGTATTGCTGGCAGGGCCCCCCACTGCACAGATGTTAGCTGATGAGCCTTGTCAGCCTTCATTAACAGATCCCAGACCCAGAGAAATACTTAACTCTCCTACTTCCTCTTGTTTTAAGGAAATTCTTAAAATTTCCAAACCCCTGATTTCTATAGCTATCTCTGTCTGCCTTTAATAAGAACAGAATAGGTTTATATTACCTATCAAGATGTCAGCCAATGAAAAAGGTTCATGTTCTTGCCTTAATATGATAGCATTTGCTATAAGACTGGTTAGCAGTTTTTTAGAAAACAAGATTGATACCTTTTTTTTTTTTTCCAGTTCCACTTTCTTTTTATTTAAATAACCGAAGCAACAGCCTTGGCACAGCAGAGGGAAGCTGGGTTGGGGTGTGTGAGAGGTGGCAGTAGTGTGGCCTATTCGGGGGGGTGGCAGGGGTAGCGGGATTGGGTCACAGTGGGCTCCCTACACCCTTAAGTCAGGGTCAGCAGTTATGGCTGCGAACCTGGGGGCATGAGAGGAGACCCCAAGTAATGATGGATGTCTCACCAAGCCCCAGAGCCCTCAGGGATGGGGGCTAAGTGCGCTCCCTCCAGTGGCAGGGCCAGGGCATCCCTGCCAGGGCTCACGGGGCTCGGAAGGCATTTTCGGCAGCGCCAGCGGCTGCGTTGGCGGCAGCAGTTGGCACCACGGGTTTGGAGAAGACACCAGCAGCAAATTCTTGCTGGGCTTTCTGAAAGCTGACACCTGTGCGGCGGTACAAGGAGTAGATCCGCTTTAGCATCACAATTCCCAGCACAGCTATGCCAGTGAAGAGCAGGGCAACCAGGAGCATGAGCACAGCTACAGCTGTGTTGGTCTTCAGCACCACCAGAGCAGAGATCCAGCCACTGAACCCCCAACCTGGGATGCCAATGTCCTGGAGGACAAAAAGCACATCCTGGACGAAGAAAATGAAGAAGAAAACGAAGAAATTGAATGAACTGTCACTCCGGAAGGCCTTATACATGGGGCGGTACCAGCACACAAAGGAGCAGGGAGTGAAAAGGAGGACCCAGAGGATAGAGAGCCCAAAGCCTGAGCCATTGCTGGTCTCCACACAGAAACTGGCCAGGCAGGCAAGAAAATTCAGGAGAAGGGCCAGCGTGCTGCACATCCAGAGGTAGTACATGGTAGATATGGTCTTCTGAAATTCTTGGGGGATCTCCATGGAGATGTCCTGGAAAAAGCAGGGCTGGACTGGGCAAAAAGAAGGTAGGGGGTGCCAATTGTTCTGTTGAGCAGCTGTGCCCCCCAGGGCAGCATGCTGCAGTTCCCGCTCCCTCCGGTCCAACTCCTCGGCCTTCCGGTTGAGCTCCTCCGGCTTCTTCAGCAGCTCAGCAGTGGCTGTAGCAGCTGAAGCCTGGGTGCTGTAGGAGCCATAGTTCTTGGGTTCTGTGGTGCTGAGCTTTCTTGACGACTGCAAGGAGGGCGCCGAGGGTGAAGGCAACGGGGCAGGGGCAGGAGGCTCATAAGCCAGTGGGGGCTCCCGGGTCTCAAAAGGGTTGTAGACGTCAAGAGTGGCATACTGCGGGCTGGGTGGGTGCTGGATCACAGCTGGGTCCTGAAAGGGGTTGTCAAGCTCGCCGGGCCCGGTGAAGGGGTTTTCGCCATCTCTACTCTGAGCCATGTTTGCAACTGCCTTGATACCTTTTTTTGATTAGTGTTCTGTCTTTTCTTCAAGTCTCATCATTGCTGTGTTCAGTCCTTTCCATTTCTCCTCTCATGGTGAAGGGTTTTCAGGAAAGTTTTGCTTATTTTTTGCCTTTTAGTTTATGTTATTTGAGTTTCTCTTGAGAAAGATATACCCTTCTATTAGGGACACAGGTTAACCAGTTCCAGTCACATATACCATCCTGTCAAATCTCGAGGCTCCTTATTGCTTTTTTTTTTTCATGAAAGAATTTGATTCCCAGGAATTACAAAGCTCATACAGAGAAGGGTATATGTACTCTTCAAATTTCCCCACTGTAACTGGAGTAGAGTTCCTAAACCAGGAAATTACGTTAGTATGATTCCGTGCCATTTTGTCACATGTAAATAGATTCAGGTATCCAGTGAAAGGATCCAAAGTACAGAACTATTCCACCTGCACAGAAGTCTTCTTTCTACCACTCCTGTATAGTTTCATGCCATCTTCACCATCCCTGACCCCTGGCAACAGTTACTTTATCCTCCATCTCTAATTTTGCTATTTTGAGAATTTTAGATAAATGGAATCATACAGTATGTAACCTTTAGACTGCCTTTCTCCCTCTGCATGTGATACCCTTGAGATCCATCCAAGTTGTGTGTATCAGTTTGTTCCTTTTAGTTTCTGAGTTGTGTTCCATGGTATAAGGTTGTACAGTTTGTTGAGTCATTTACCTGTTGAAACAAATAAAGCTGTTGTGAATATTTGTGTACAGGTTTTTCTGTGGGATGCACGTTTTCATTTTTCTGGGATAAATGCTCAGGAATATGACTGCTGGATCATACGGTAGGTATAGGTTTCAGTTTTTAAGAAACTGCCAAGTGATTTTCTAGATTGGCTATACCCGTGCAAGTGAAGTATTAGAAGTCTTACCTCTCTTTAAATCCCTTTATCCTCCTGTATATAATTGTCTAAAATATTTCTCGTATGTATATTGAGAACCACATCAGAAAGTCAAAATTTGGGGCAGCCCAGGTGGCTCAGCAGTTTAGCGCCACCTTCAGCCCAGGGTGTGATCCTGGAGACCCGGATGGAGTCCCATATCGTGCTCCCTGCATGGAGCCTGCTTCTCCCTCTGCCTGTGTCTGTACCCCCCCCCCCCATAAATAAATAAAATCTTTTAAAAAAAAGTGTCAAAATTTTTGCTTCAACCTTTAAATGATAACTTAGAAAACTTGAGAAGGAAAATTTATTGTATTTATCCATGTACTTATTGTTCTGTTCTTTCTTCCTTTGTAATGTTCCACAGTTCCTTCTTTTATTATTAGCTTCTATTTTTAGAATTTGTGCCTTTTTTTCAGGGTAAAGAATGCTTCTTCTCTGGATATGGCATTATGGGTTGGCAGTTCTGTTCTTTCACTGCTTGAACAACATTGTACCATCTCTCTGGCCTCCTTGGTTTCTGATAAGAGATCTGCTGTCATCCTACTTGTTTTTCCTCTATAGGCAAGATGTTGTTTTTCTTTGGCTGCTTTCAAGATTTTTTTCTTTGTCTTTAGTTTTCACAAGTTAAATTATGAAGTATCCTAGAATGCATTTCTTTGAATTTATCCTGATTGGGATTTGTTCAGCTTCTTCATTCCCTAAGTTTAACTGTCTTGCTAGATTTGGGGAGTTTCAGCCATTTCTGCTTCTTGGCCTCTTTCGGCCCTGCCCTCTTTCTCCTCTCCTTCTGGGACTTGGCAACATGAAGGTTAGAGCTTTGCTGAGAGTTCTACAGGTCCCTGGAACTCTTTATTTATTTATTTTTGTCCTTTTCCTTTCTGTTACTCAGATTGTGTAATTGTATTACTCTTTTTTCTGGTTCACTAATTTTTTTTTTTTTCCCTTTGATTCCTCCACTCTGCTGTGGAGCATATCCACTGAGCTGTTTATTTAAGCTTTTGTCCTTTTCATTTCATCTCTGATATCCGTTTGGTTCTTCTTCTGTTTCTTTGCTGAGACTTTCTATTTTTTTTCAAGCATGTTCATAATTGCTGATGGAAGCATTTTTATCATGACTGCTTTCAAATCTTTGTTAGATAATTCTGATATCTTAATCATCTCTGTGTTGACATCTGTTGTCATTTGTCATGAGAATTGAGATCTTGGGATCCCTGGGTGGCACAGCGGTTTGGCGCCTGCCTTTGGCCCAGGGCGCGATCCTGGAGACCCGGGATCGAATCCCACGTTGGGCTCCCGGTGCATGGAGCCTGCTTCTCCCTCTGCCTGTGTCTCTGCCTCTCTCTCTCTCTCTCTTTCTGTGTGACTATCATAAATAAATAAAAATTAAAAAAAAAGAGAATTGAGATCTTCTTGGTTGTTACTGAAATGAATAAGTTTTCTTTTAAACCAGGACATTTTGGGTATTATGAGACTCTGGGTCTTCTTTAAGTCTTTTGTTTTAGCTGACCTCCTCTGACCCAACAATGATGGAGGAAAGGGGGGTTGTCTTGTCACTGCCAGACAGAATTAGAAGTCCAAGTTCTCTTCTTGGTCTCCATAGATACCTGGGAGTAGGTATGGTTGGATGTTACTGCTATGTGGTGGTGGGAAGTTTAGTGTCCCTAGTAGGCCTCTACTGATATCACCTTGACTGAGGGTAGGGGTACCTTGTTACTACTCCCCAGGTGGCCTCCACTGATTCCATGGGGGTGTGACTGTTGGACAGTAATGGAGTCCTGTCTCTACTAGGCCTTCTCTGATACCACCTCAGCATGTAGGTGGTGGGGTGCCTTATTACTGTTAGGTAGAGTGGGAGTCCAGGCTCCCTGTGTGGTTTCCTCTGATGCTACGGGGTAGGTGATGGAGAGAGGAGACTGATTACTGCCCACCAGGGTTGTAAGTCCTGGCTCCCTGCTACTCAGTCTTCTCTGATACCATCCAGGCCAGGAGGAGGGGTCCTTCATTGCAGCCCGGTGAAGGTGGAAGTCTGGATTCTCCCCTGAACATTTATTATCAGAAGTGTAGGTGGAATGACACTCTTGAGTGCTGTTTGACTAGTGTTTTAGGGTCGTCCAGAGAAACAGACCAATTGTGTGTGTGTGTGTGTGTGTGTGTGTGTGTGTGTGTGTGTGCATTAGAGTAATTTAAGAAATTGACTGACACAATTGTGGGAACCGTTAAGCCTAAAATCTCTAAGGTAGGTTGTCAGGCTGAGAACCCAGGGAAGAATCAATGTAGCTTGAGTCTGAAGGCAGTCTGGAGGCAGAATTCTCTCTTCCTTGAGGGAACCTCACTCTTTTTTTCTTAAGCTCTTCAACTGATTGGACGAGGCCTACCCACATTATGAAGGGTAATTGCTTTACTCAAAGTCTGCTGATTTAAGTGTTAATTTAATCTAAAAAATGTCTTCACAGCAACATCTAGTCTCATGTTAGACCAAATATCTAGATACTGTGGCCTAGCTAAGTTGACACATAAAATGATCACTGCTAGAGTAGACTGTTTATTGTATAAAAGTATTGTTCCTGGGGTCCTGAGGTTGCTAGCTGGCCTGCTTTCTTTTTTCTGCCCTTTGGAGTTGTTTTATGTTTGTTTCATACATAGGTCTAGGGTTTTTAGCTGGACTTAGCAGAAGGAAAATGGAAAAGTGCTTGCTCTTGCTTTTTATTTGACATCTTTTAACATAGTGGATCAAATGCTTTATTAATATTTGAGGCCATAGGTTTTTATTTCTAAGCCTCTTTGTATTTTTCCTTAAAATTATTTAGTTCTTCCTTCTGTGTGTTTTTTAAAACATAAAATATTTTGGACTAGAGTGTCTGATTTTATGATTTTTATCTGGATTTTTTTTCTTCCCCTTTCAGATTTTAGTTTAAAGATCTCTTCATCTATTTGGAAGTTTCTCTAAGCACATTCACTCTCATCTTTGTAAGCTGTGTTCTGACCCTTGCCAGGAACTCATTAGTCTATAAGCTATAATCCAGAAAAATAGTCTTAGGATTTGACTCCATTGCTTATGTTCTACTGTGTGCTTCCTTATCTTCTGCTTCTCAAGGCCAACTTTTAACTTGACAAGAAATGGAAAATACCTCTTTGCTTCAAAGACTGAGGATCCCACCTGTGAGCTCAGTCACTTGACATACAGCCTTGCCTTCTTCTGTCCTTTGTTTCTAATGTGAACTGGCAGGGCTTACTGCTTGGCAGACTCAGATCTTAACTGGTTCTCTATCAATTTGATACATTGCAGGAGGATGTAATTCTTTTCTTTTACCTGTGTTAGGTCTGTTTTCATGTGGATGCTTTTGAACTCCCTAGTCAGGATCATTTACAGAATGACGAGTTCAAAGCCTGGGAGCCACACCCTGCCTCCTGTCTCGTAGCCTCTTCCACCTACCCTGTGTGCCTGGTTCACTTACACCTGTGAGTTTCATAAAGGTAGTTTGCTGCTCCTGTACTGCTGTTCTTTTCTACTACTTTTCTTCCAACTAGTCTACCAAGCCACTTTGTAGGCTACAGATCCTGTTTCCAGTGGGAATTCCTTGCAGATTTTGAGCAAGGGAGAGCGACTGTTAATGTCTTTTTGTCGTTGTGACCCAGTTTTCCCATCGTTGTTTACCTTGCCCAATCACTCAATAGTTACTTTTATTTTTTTTAATTTTTAATTTTTTAAAAGATTTTATTTACTCATGTGAGCACAGAGAGAGAGAGAGAGAGAGAGAGAGAGAGTGACAGAGACACAGGCATAGGGAGAAGCAGGCTTTATGCAGCAGCCCGATGTGAGACTCGATCCTGAGACTCCAGGATCATGCCCTGGGCCGAAGGCAGGCACTAAACCCACTGAGCCACCCAGGGATCCCTTCAGTAGTTACTTTTAAAACTATTTACTTTTATTTTTATTTTTTTTTTTAAATTTTTTTATTTATTTATTTACGATAGTCATACAGAGAGAGAGAGAGAGAGAGGCAGAGACACAGGCAGAGGGACAAGCAGGCTCCATGCACCGGGAGCCTGACGTGGGATTCGATCCCGGGTCTCCAGGATCGCGCCCTGGGCCAAAGGCAGGCGCCAAACCGCTGCGCCACCCAGGGATCCCAACTATTTACTTTTAAAATATTGATTTATCTTTTAAAAAATCCATTTACTCTTTAAAAAATATTTTATTGTTTAAGAGAGAGAGCATAGGCACGGGGGAGGAGCAGAGGGAGAGGGAGAAGCAGACTCCCTTAATCCCAGGACCAGGAGATCATGACCTGAGCCAAAGGCAGACACTCAGATGACTGAGCCACTTAGGTGCTCCAAAATCCATT